GGGGCCAAGGACCCTCTGTGCCCGGGCACCCTGGGACATCCCACTGCAAACGTACCTTGTCCAGGTGCTGCCACGAATGCCCCTGCAGTGCTCTGCCTGCTCCTGCTGCAGGGGTGAGGAGGGACTGGCAAAACTGGGGCAGGAAAAGGGGAGAAAAACAAAGGGCTTTGGACAAAAGCGAAAAGAAGCAGCACACAAAGGGAGGAGGAAGAAGAAAAGCAGAGTTAGAGCTCGATCCCGTCTTACCTGGAGGAGCCCCGAGGCTCCGGAGCCGTCCCTTCTGCAGAAACGTGACAGGATCGTGGCAGTGTTTGGCAATGCCAGTGGTGGGTCCCAGCTGCCACGGCCACTCTCAGCACATCCTACCTGTGTCAGGCATCTGCTGGGGTCTCCTCCTCCCCTGTCCTGTTTCCACTTGAGTTTTCGGTGCCCAGGCTTTGCTCATGCGTGGAAAAGCCCCAAGCTGCGTCCATGCACCCCGGGGGCTGGTTACAGACTCGACGGCCCAAGGAGGGACGGGGAATCGGGACTGTGTGTGCCAGGCAGCACGGAGACCAATCTCCCCGTTACAATTAACCTGTGATTATTTCTAGTGAGGGATGTGAACAGCTCTCCCAGGCTGAGCAGGTCTCTCCTCCCACACAGGTCTAACTCAGGCAGGTTAGGACCCTGCAGAGATTTCTGGTGGAGAAGAAGAATCACCTTCCAGCCGTTCCTTTCCTCGCCTTTAAAAATTACCTGGAAACGCCTTCCAGACAGGACTTCTCAAAAAAGCCTGACTTTTGGGACAGAATCGCAGCAAAACCCACCTCTGCGGCCACCGCTGCTCCTCGAGCCGGGGCTGGGAGGGGGGAGACAGAAACCTCACCCCCGTCCTCTCCCCCCGCTCCCTTTGCTCCTCTGAGCCCTGGGTTGTCCCCACCGCAAGGGTGGCAGATGTGGCATCGAAACGAACCCCAGTGAAGCTCTGGACAGCGGTTCACAGGCTACGAAACTGCTCGAGGGACGAGAGGAGCACCTGCGGCCGGGCGGGAGCCCCTCAAAATAACGCAACAAGCCCAACCGTGAGCCGCTCTCGGCACCGCGGCTGCCGGCGGCCCGGGGGCGGGGGGGGGGGGTGTTTTTAAACAGAGTCACTCTTTGGTGAGCAGGAGCGATGCCCCAGCTGCGCCCACGCGATGGGAGCGGGACGGTGACCCCGGCAGCCCTACCTGCCGCTGCTCCCCGTCCCGCCGAGCACCCGCTTCGCCGAGTCAGGACAGGTCGTGGGTAGAGTGGGTGTTCCTCAGCGGGCGTCAGGCTGAGCCGGTCATCAGCTGCGGTGGCGGTGGCAAGGCCACGCTGGTTGGTGACCCCGCGGCGGTGCCCGGGGTGCCCGCCAGACTCTCTGCCCGCCGGCTCCCACCCTGCTTTTATGGCCACGGAGTCTCCTCCTGCAGCGGGGCCCGGCTGCGCTCGGCGCCGCGGAGCCAATCGGGGCGAGGGAAGCTGTGAATAATCAGCCCCGCAGCATCCTCGCCACCTCCTGAGCAGGCTCTCCCACCGTGCCAGGGCCTCCCCGCATGCCCGGGGTGCCCGCCAGACTCTCTGCCCGCCGGCTCCCACCCTGCTTTTATGGCCACGGAGTCTCCTCCTGCAGCGGGGCCCGGCTGCGCTCGGCGCCGCGGAGCCAATCGGGGCGAGGGAAGCTGTGAATAATCAGCCCCGCAGCATCCTCGCCACCTCCTGAGCAGGCTCTCCCACCGTGCCAGGGCCTCCCCGCAGCCCTCCGGCCACCCCAGGAACCGGGGTGCACATCCCGTTGCTGCACCACCGCCCCCCGCCGCCGGCTGCGTCCCTCGGGGACCCCCCGTCGGGGCCAGCCTCGGTCCTTGGGGCCGAAACGCGTGCCCCAAACACAGGAGATGGCAGGGGACCGGGACGGGGTCCGTCTCCCCCCCCCAGCTGTGTGCCAGAGGAGTTTGGCTGCCTGGGGTGTGAATCCCCCCTGGGCACCAAATTAAAATCCTGCCCAAGAAGGAGGGGGGGTGTGAAGCCCTGACACCTCCCCCCCCCGCTCCCCAGGCTGGGGAGAGGCACCATCCTCGTGGTGATGCCGGGGAGAGGAGTGAGCCCGTCCGAGGCCGCTGGGAAGGGCAAGAGGGTCTTCACACCCTGGGAAAGGCTGGTCCCCTCCTGACCCACCCAGCCTGGCTGAGGTTGGGCAGCAAAGCCCTTGCAGGGAACCCCTCCCCCTCCGCACCGTCGGGGCTCGGACCCGCCGGGCTTCCTCCCACCACCCTCTCCCCGTCCCCCCTCCTCCTGAGGACAAATCCAAAGAGATGAGCCAAAGGGGCAGGGGGAGCGGGGTGAGGGGATGGAGACACCCCCCACCACCACCTTCCCCTCTCAGTCCTGATTCCTGTTCACACATTCCCAAGCCTGATTCGGGGGTGAAGGAGGGCAGCGCTGGGCAATGCCAGGGCACCCTCCGAGCCCACGCACCACCATCCCCCTGCACGGTGTCCCAACAGAGTTGTGGGGCTGGGGGGTCCGGGGCGCAGACCCCACGGGGCCGGGCCAGCCCGTCCTGTCCCCTGCAGCCCCAGCGGGTGCGAGCGCATCCCACGCACTGCCGGCAGCGCAGCCCGTCCTCTCGCCTTGAAGACGGAGCTATTTTTATCGGAACTCAAGAGGGATGTTTCCCAGCAACCTGCCTTTCTCCCTGGCTCGAACACCAGCTACCGGACCCGGTGCCCCCTGCTCAGCCCTCCTGGCGCTGGCGAGGGACAAATCCAAAGAGATGAGCCAAAGGGGCAGGGGGAGCGGGGTGAGGGGATGGAGACACCCCCCACCACCACCTTCCCCTCTCAGTCCTGATTCCTGTTCACACATTCCCAAGCCTGATTCGGGGGTGAAGGAGGGCAGCGCTGGGCAATGCCAGGGCACCCTCCGAGCCCACGCACCACCATCCCCCTGCACGGTGTCCCAACAGAGTTGTGGGGCTGGGGGGTCCGGGGCGCAGACCCCACGGGGCCGGGCCAGCCCGTCCTGTCCCCTGCAGTCCCAGCGGGTGCGAGCGCATCCCACGCACTGCCGGCAGCGCAGCCCGTCCTCTCGCCTTGAAGAGCGAGCTATTTTTATCGGAACTCAAGAGGGATGTTTCCCAGCAACCTGCCTTCCTGGCTCGAACACCAGCTACCGGACCCGGTGCCCCCTGCTCAGCCCTCCTGGCGCTGGCGAGGGGGGTGGGAGCCATCGGCATGGCTGGGAGCCTC